CCTCGTGATAACATGACGGGGGGATAGTTTGTCGAGCCTATACGTTGGACTATCACAACTCGGGTTGAGACCAAGGCTTGGTCAAAATAGTAGTCCAGTTCAGTGTGGATAAAAATGCCTTTTGGGAAATAAGGCTATGTGAAATTCAATGAAAACGTTGTGTCAAACCATATCATTGTGGGAAAAATCGACTACCTCATCATCCTAAATCATATAGGATAGATACAACTTATAAATATAATCTAAAGATAGTTTTGAAAACTTGCTTATAAATCAAATCTCCCTCCCTTACTTTTCCCGAATCATTTCTGCCCTAACGTTGAAGTTTAGCGTTCTTCAGGTTAAATTTAAGACCACAACCAGCAGGTAGTTGTTCACCCCTTCCATGTAGGGTGGCTTGACCAAACTCGGCTATATGTTTTGAAATGTGAACCCAATAAATGAAAGCGATCAGCCCTGGACACAAGCTATAGCCTCCAATCAAGCCTATACTTTGTATCCATGCTTTCTACGTTAAAATATGCATACACCAAGTGTGCTAAGTACTATTCTGCTGAGGATCCAGCAGATCGTCAACCTCGAAGGTGTGGTACAACAGGAAACAAACAGACCGTATATATTCTAGAGCAGCCTGTAAAACTACTCCCTAAGGCATTAGTGACATAAAGCTTATCAACACTCCATCGCTTTCTCTCATCTCACCTCCTTCGGGTCGTAGAAACCGGCTCCACTGCTGTACTCTCTGGATCTCGAAGATTCGCTCACACAGACAGGAAATTCCGTTGCTGCGTATCCTGAAAATCGAAATTATATAATCGTTCAACTTTCATTTTTATTATCATTATAGGTATAAATATTATTTTTCGTTTATAAATAAAGGAGTTATTAATAAGTTTTCCTAAAATATAAAATGGTCCCAGTTTGTGTTGCTTTCGTAACCATCATCATCATCCTTATCATCATCATTAAGTTGAATAATTCCCCCCCCCCCAATTCAATAAAAAAAACTAGTTTTGCCTCCTATATCAACCTCTGTCGTCCTTTTTCTCGTGCTTATGACTGAAAACGTGAGAAAGAGTTGGTAGTTGAATAATCATTCACTCCACTCTACACAGACTTAGCAATTTTATCTCTTTCATGCATATAAATTAGACCCTTTGGCATGTAATCTGACGGCAGTATCATATATTACCTCCTTCCGATGAAATTCTAGATATTTTATGTATTTCTGTCTCAACAGGCCTGACTTAACGTTCGAAGGATGGAAACTTCTAAATGACGAATTCCGATTTTTGTGCCATTGTTGCAGAATAGCAAATTTGAACCAAATTGTTGAGCTTACAGTAGCTAGAGGCTTACAGAATGCTCATTATTTCTATTGTTTACATTATTTTACTATAAGATTCTTAAATATCTAGAATTCTTGCCAGTTTAGAAGACAGGGTGTTGGTCAATTCTTGCCTAACTAAGAGGCCTATATTTTTAATAATTTGTTGTGCAACTATGCCCTTATGTAGAAATAAAGAAAGCTGCCAGATCACTGAATTCTCACTTCTTTTATCATAGATCATTTCAGCAAGTGATTATGTGTTGTCGTGAAGTCATTAATTATTTCCAAAACTTTGGGAAAAATACGTTCATGGCGACTTCCTCAGATGCATTTCTTGGCCCCTAGGCTCTATGGAGCCAATTATTTTGCCTAAACTTGCAGATACAAGAGTAAGACTGAACAAATGACATGTTCGAAAAGTATTGCTATCACATCATCTTTAAGGGTCAGCATAAGATCTAAGCTGGATTTTAAGTTGGAATGGTCCTCTCTAAATTTAGAGAGCGGAGCTAAAGTCTGCTGCCTTTAGCGTTGGTTAAACTATATCAAATGTTATTTTCGTATTAGAGTAGAGGGGTTAATATAAGCATTTAAAGTAACAATAATGGCATGTATTCATTGTGAATAAGATTCCAACACTATCACTAGATCTTGAATAAGAGCTTTAGTATCTCCAGATCACTGGGAGTGGTGAACGTCTAATAGTGAATTATGTCACAATGAGATGAGTTATTAAAGTTCACTTAGTCTGGCTCCAAAAAGTTATTCTTGCTGAAGTTGGACCTCAAGTTCGAACTCACCTGGGTCGCATAAGCACTACAAGCGGGAATCGAACTCGGGTAGAACAGTGTATGATTCCTACATGTTACCCCTACACCCCATTGTGGAAAAATTCACCATCAGTCCTTTCTCAGCTTAACCAAACTGAAGCGACTAAGGTTCATATTAAAAATCGGATGGTACTTCCGAGCTCCTGTAATGTTGTCGACTGTAATGGCAAATAAATGTTTAATTGAAGATATGAAGACCAAGGTGTTGTGGTCTCTGTTATGGTTGCAGTCTCCTTTCGATTGATAGATACGAACTCTTGTCTCTTTGACGAGTTCGTATCCTGGTGCGGAGAATGGCAAGGCTCACTGATGATGCCGACTA